CACTGTTAGAAAGCAATAAGCAAAACGAGACAAATAATCTAATCAATCTATTTTCATTTTCGCCTTCACAGCCTCCTCCCCAAACAGAGAAAACTTTGGTCGAATTATATTTAAATAAAAGTTATGATCATATAGGTAATGATGTCTATAATAATTAATCAGTTAACGAGCGGTTAATAATAATAATAATAATATTGTAACTACAGAAAAGCCGCTGCTTGGATCAATTTCTCGATCATTGAGAAGTAAATCGGTTTACTGTAGAAAAATGTGTAACAAAATTCGTTCTGAAGAGAGTTCTTATAAATACGTACGTAAGAGTCTTGAAGATGCCATCAGTGAAAGTTCTCAACAAGAATTGGATTACATCGAAAGACAGATAAGACAAGTGAATGGTCACTGCAAGCAAAACGAAGAAGGTCCTATTGAAAGTGGCTTCTTACCCGATGGACACAAACAAAATATCATCAGGTAAATAACACAGGTGTCTAAAGGGAGATACAAGGGCTGACGCTGAAGCTGGCGGAAATTTTAAAATACCGTAGATGCGCGGTGACAATAGTAGGCAGTTTTAGCTATAACGATTGCAACCTTCTTTCTTCAGTATTTCCTATTTAAAAGCAGGGATTAGTGAGCAAGTAATAGACATACAAACAAAAGAACTAATTGTTGATGTTAGTGACAGTGATAGAGATTCCCATGATGACAGTGAATGTGAAAACTAACTATAAAACAAAAGCAATAGGTTTATTTTTTCTTTTTGGTAAGTGATGTTTCTACATTATTTCCTAGTACGCTACTGTTCTATCTGTATTAATACTATAATTTCCGTCTATTGTAAGCTTATTTGTATATCGGTTCCAAGTGACTTACACAAAATGGTCATAAATAGGCGCGACCGCTCGCCAGCTTCCTTCGTGCGACCTGTATAATTATAGGCAAAATTTTCAAATGGTGCTCCTATGCCGATGAAAAGGAAGAAAGTTTTAAACAACATTTATTTCGCTGTGGCTAAACGTTCGTCTATTATAAGAAAAAATCCGTAGTACGGTGGACATAATGTTACTAAACTTTGAGCCATCCAAAGTGGCGGCTGAAGTATCTAATTTTGAGAAGATTTATAAATTTAATTTGTTGAATGGCTAACATCCGAAGAAATAAGGAAGACGGTCCGAATTTTATTTAGGGACAATAACCCTTAATAAATTTATCTTTGCAGCTGAGATTCGCCAAAAATGTTGTACTATACTTAAATAAGACAGAGTAGTGGAATTCATTTGAAAACATTCCTCTGAAAGTTTTCAAATAATTTTGGACTTTATAGGCACAGGTACGGCACAGAATATAAAATGTGCTTCCTTTGAATGGTGCCATAAAGTTGTAATTGCACTTAGGCATGAGCAAATGCGACCTATTGTTGACAGTTTTACTGCACGAGCCGTCACTTTAAATGGCTCAGAATTTACGTCGAATGTCCGCCGATATGTTCTTCGTTCACGCATGCGTAGTGGATTTCATCTATTATTTAGTAATCTGACTAAACTAAACATCATCCAAATTTGGAAATTTGCGCAAGCACGGCGGAATAGTGATCTATATTTTTCAATTTCGTATTCCGCCGTGACGACTAGACATCAGGGGCCTTGTGAGTTTACCGAACGCGGTACTACTCTATCCGAAATTCCTGTGATTTCGACGGGGTCATTTCATGGTCGTTTAGACTAGAGCAATAATATGCCACAGACGGTCTTCAATTTTGTTAACCCAACTTGTCTTCATTTCGCCCATCTTGTCTTTTTTCCATGGGCGGTCCCACTCATTCTCATAATCTTGAAGAAGTTGGCGAGGGCCTCCACCCTCTAACTATGCCTTTGCGCCTAATTTTAAGTATAGATTAGTTCCGATTGCAGTAAAGAACTCGAGAAACAATTTCTTGAATGAAAGTTGTGGCAGATTTTTTTATTTTAGGGAGAATGTCTCGGCGGTGCTGGAAAAAATACCGGAAATCCAGTCAGAGCAGTCTGTTGACCCTTTAGAAGCGTGGAGCGTAAAAGAAATAACAAATATGAGTAAAATATTATCCTGTAAAAAAGACATCACGACCACATTAGATAAATAAAGCATCTTCCGTCATGTAACCGTCATATCTATAAAAAGATAAAATCTGTGACGGCCACATTTTATATATACACATACAGTAAGAAGTAGATCTTTTTCTACTATATATATTGTAGATCTTCTTATATTATATATGTATGTATTGTATTATCCAAAAGTACCATATAATTGAAAAATAAATAGAAATCGATTCATGAAAATTTTTAATGTTTAATGTTTTTTCTCCACAAGTTGAAAGTTTATACCATCGTCTTCGTTTACGTCCAAAGGGAGACACCACAGTAAATATTTAGAACCAAAGACTGTTATCGAATTTTTGGGGCATCCCAAATTAAATGTTAAATCTTCTGGACAAAATATCGGTGGATATAATGCTTCCAATGTTGTTACATTTTTGAAAATTATACTTAAGTGGAAGAACAAAAACGATGCGATAACAGCAAAAGCGAAACACATTATGATACAACTGAAAAAAACAAAATAAAATTAAAAGCAATGGGACTGAGAGGATCCTTCAGGATTTCTCGGTACTTTAGATTTCGTATGAGTAAGAAGTAAAATATTAGAAAAGGAGAGAGGGGTCGAGATTTTATTTGCATGCATCCACATAGTTAATCTGGTACTAATCTTCAAAGGAAGGTTGTGAATTTTGTAAGAACACGTTTCTAGCGAGACAACCCGAAAAAAAAAATAGTAAAGGAGATTGTGATAATGATATTAAACAGATTCACCTCTAGTATACACTACAAATCTTTTTAACAACGGACATACCCTTCATGTGGACTGGGCATTACCTATCACTTCCGCATTGATAATGATAATGTCCACATTTATAGTAAACAAAACACGTGTCCGCTGTTAATAATGTTTATGGTAAATAGGCATGAGTCCCTTTGATAATCAAATTTTACCCTATAATAAAATGTAAGTGCTTCGTTAAATTTTCCCGTTGCCATTCGTCAATCAAAAAAGGCAAACTGGTACCAAAATGGAAGGCACAATAAAGTGAAGTAGAAAATAATAGATTTACGAATTTTTTATAATTAGAGAAAGCAATGCATTTATTTATCCATGGACAATGATGATCCATTTTCAGTCTACATGCGTTGCACGAGGAGCAATGGTGGCATCTGTCAGGTTTTATGTGTCCACATTTTAAACAATAACTACAAATATAACTGAACTAGAAATAATGTGATATATATATACGTACAAGTTAATTACCGCATTTTACAATCTCTGGTGCGCATCGAAATTGGAAGTTTATTAACTTCAACAAATTTGACTAGCAATTCGTTTATTTCGTTAACATCGTCAGAGTCGGCGATTTTTTTTTGAGTTTGAGGAGAAGGTCTGAATTGTGCAGGGACATTTCTATGTTTCGTAAAAAGAGTTGCAACGAGACACCAAATCGTCATGAACAACAGAAGACCCAAAAATGTTATGAAAGTTTCCTTGTGCGGCAATTGATTGCATAGGTAATGTATCACATAAACACAGTAAGACCAAACAAACAAAGCGTATAATAGGATTGAAGGTATAAATTTAAAAAGTCTTAGCATATAAATGATGACGGATGACGTCTTTTCACAATTGCACATTATTTATTGACGTTTTAATTAAACAACTAAATGAGTACCTATATCAAAATGAAATGATCAAAATGTGATGGCGGCTGTGGAACAAGTCCCTGATTGGATGCCTCATGTTTATATTAGAGAAGGGAGGAAATATGAATCAACTAATCAGAGACGTATTCCACTGCTGACGTATGGTCGTCATTTAACATTAATCATTCCATGTTGATGTTGACAATCTCACTTTAAGAGACGGCTTCGGGAAATCGCCCATTATTTTAAAATTACGTACTTAACATACCTAAATGTCTATTAATATGTCAGGCACTTCTCTATCAGACTGATAACTAGCACAACTTCTACCGCGCAAAATACATCATTCCTGAACATTTAAACTCCATCAGGATGCTCCGACTTACGAAAACGCGGCCTGTCGAATGAATGGTCGGTAACGTCAGGTACCGGGATCGCAAACAATTCTTTAATAGAGCAAAGAGAGGCAGTAAAGATACTCTTGGGAACGGAAAGGAGTAGGTTATGTCGGGTAATACGTGAAAAGAAATGTGCTTGTTTGTCAGACCGTCAAGTACTTAATAAACATTCTTCTTAATATGGCTTACGCGCCTTTCATCGATTGAGTTAAGCAAGTCGATACATAAGTAAGGTTTTGTTTAAAATACGGAAAAAATATTTCAGTGACGGCAAATACCAATTAAACTGGTTAGTAGTAATTTAAAGAGACTGCCTATGACGCCCTGATGACATCTACCTAATAAGATCGAAGTAACGATCCGCGTCTGGTTGTTTCGGTAAATATTCTAAGATATTCATTCACAGATAATAGGCACAACTTGAAACGAAAAAACGATTAAGTTACAGCAAAAATACACAGGGTAGGTAAGTAAATAACTTAAATATACTTTGGGAAAAACCACTTGTTTATTTACTTGACCTGAAGTCATTTATTTATTTGCTTCCACGTAGCGTGCAATAGCTTCTAAATTTATATTTGCAATAACAAGGCAACCCCGGCCAAAGTCCATTTGGCAGGTTTGTCTTTCGTTTTTAAGTTGAATGTCCAAACGTAGGTTGAGCCACGCGACTTCGTTTTATAAAGGGGACATTCGTATATGTTTCTTAAATCCTGTTTTTCCTGGGTGATGGCACGAACGTTAATTACCGGCATAGCAGGAAACAGCTCCTTCAATCTCGATTCCATTATTATACCGCATTGAATGTCCCACCGAGCCCCTTCCATAAACAAGCCGTGTATATATGCACCGTCACGAGGAGCAGCACTAAAATTAGTAGGTACATACTTAATTAACAATAAATTTCGATGTACATGCATATAAACGAAAGTAAATAAATTAAAAATATAGATATANCATTAGTTAATGTACATTCCCATGATTTAACAAAATTGAAAAACTAATTCAATAATTTATATTTACACAATGTTTGGTTTCTTCTTAAAGGTTCAAACGGATTTTATATTGGACTTGAACTGTTAGTTATTGCCTGTTTTTGCAAAATCGAGAAAGATGAAAAATTTCGCGGCAAATTAGCAAACTTTATTTGTAAAACTACAAAATGAATGGATCCCTATCAGAGTATCAGGCACTCAATACTTACTTTCATCGACAATTTTATAACAAACTTTTCCTAACATCAAAAAATGTCTTTTTTTGTTTTTACTTCATTTAAAACTGTCACAAATAACTAACGTTTAAAACAGTTTTAAATACTATTGTTGTTTGTTAGGTGGTGAATTAATTGATGCTTACACTTCTGGGGGCCAAGCTAAAGTAGAACAATTGATTAAAGAACGATTTGGCCAGTTAATGTATCAAAATGGTAACGGACAAATTATAAACAGAGCCGAGTACCTCAGGTGGATATTTAGTGACTGTGAACAGGTAACTTTACCTATTGAGGCATCGTTAAATCATAATGATCCATTAGCAAAATGGGCAGACCACGAAGCATGCTGGCAAATGCAATATAGAGGATCATTGGGAGAAACCCTTGTACATGTCCTTATCATTTGTGATACTAAAATCCACACTCGTTTAGCGCGTACTTTGATTAAATGTTTTCCTAAACTTGCAATTGACGTTATAGAAGGTGAAGAATATCTGGGCAAGTATATACTACGATACGAATAGGTAGACAGTTGTGTATATTTACAGCACATTAAAAGAAATTAATTTACAGATTATATACACCTATTGTAGGGTTTGTTTCATTTTAAACTCCGCAAAAGACGCACTTTGTTACGCACTACCCAGTTAATCTGCACATGTTAATGTTTTCTATTTATGAGAACGTCCATTGATTACGTGGGGCTATTTCGGTGATTTTTCGACCCCCCTCCCCCCACATTTCATGTGATATTTATCAAAATGCGGATGTCGCATAACCACGATAGATATTATTGTGCATTTTAACCCCCTTAATAGTGAAGAAACATATTTTACATAGTTTAACCCAGTTTATCGCAATATTTTACGTTCTTTCTTGCGGAAAAACAATTACGTGATACTTACCGAGACTCTTATCCTCTCTCCCGCGTAAGATTAGATGAGATTCGGGTCAACCCCCTCCCCCCCATAAACGCCTCAGGTAATTAATTGACGCCCCTAAACTATAACAAGTGCAAAGTGCGATAAAACACTGAAGAGGTGAAGCAGTAACGGACGAGACGAAGGCATAGATTGTCAATTTTTTTTAGACAATTAAGTAACAAGTTTTTGTTATCTTGTACAGATGAAAGCCAGTACCTGTTTTTAAGTGGATTTTAATTGTAACATCTTTTCATAATAGATCTTTGAACGGAATTTTGGCAAGAACATATGAAAAAATAAAATAATGACAATGACTTGAGGTCTTAGTTACATTACTTACGAAGAACAAAGAAGCTTAGTTTAGGCACTGAACCCTAATGTTGTTTATTCAATCAATGACCATACATTTGTGAATTAGCTGGTGCATTTTATCTATTTTACAGCATTATTTAAATATAAGCATGTATCTGTTAATATTTTTTAATTTATTGTTATGCCTAATGCTTACCGTACCTTTTATCGTACAGTTATTACTTAATTTTTAATAATATTGTTTCAGGGGCCAGCGCTTTGCACTTGGCTATTGCTTATGATAATAGTGAACTCGTCCAAGATTTGGTAGAGGCAGGTGCTAATGTTAATCAAAGAGCAATAGGTAAAAAATATCAACATAGGCTACTACACGAATTAACGTATCTTAGGCATATATACTGCGCCTATATGAAAAATTCTTCTATTACAATAAATTTTGCATTGTGTCATTTAAGGAAGTTTCTTTTTGCCCCGTGATCAGCAACGTGCAAAACCAGCTAGACATACTGATTATGAAGGCTTAGCGTACCTTGGAGAATATCCACTTGCTTGGTCGGCATGTTGCGCAAACGAAAGTGTCTATAATCTTTTGCTAGATAACGGGGCTAATCCGGATTACCAGGATACTTACGGCAACATGGTTCTTCACATGGTAGTAGTTTGTGATAAATTGGTAAGTTCTGGAGTGTAAAAAATTTCGAATAGATTTTTGCTACTAATATAAGCCATGATTAGACACATTCTTTTTTTCTTGTCGAGTCTGATTGAGGTGACGCAACAATTATGAAGGCAGTAGGTATCTACGATACATTACATTTACGTACTAGAAAATTTTAGTTTTCCTAATATAATTATCGTAAAGTGTTTTCAAATCCGAAAGAAACAGCTATCTTGATCACCAATTTATCGAAACCACCAAATGTGGATGGCGATTTCAAAGTTAATACAATTTCTAGTTTCTAAAAATCGTATACCGGATCGACGTTATGTACTCCTTGCAGACGAGTTGATTGAGTATATCAAAGGTACCTACTTGCCATAATTAATATGGAATTTTAAAAAAACTTTTGGGTGCTTTATTTTCCTAGCTACTGCTGGTGACTTGCACAGTAAATAAAATACGTTTCTGCAGGACATGTTCGGTTATGCTCTCAGGCATCCTAAACTGCCAGCTAGCAATGGAATAACAAACTCCAGTGGACTCACTCCTCTGACGCTGGCCTGCAAGTTAGGTAGATATAGAAGCACATTAACTAGTAACGTAAAATTGACAACAAAATTAAAATTTCCCAACATGTAGGTCGTGCAGAAGTTTTTCGGGAAATGTTAGAGTTATCAGCAAAAGAGTTCTGGAGATATAGCAACATAACATGCTCTGCGTATACTTTGAATGCTCTCGATACTATTTTACCTGATGGACGGACAAGTAGGTCGTTTAAAATGAATTATTTATAATAAGATTTGCGCCTATTAAACATACCTAAGGATCATTAATTTATAGTTTACTACGTACAAATATTTGTAGATTGGAATTCTGCCCTTTTTATTATTCTCAATGGAACAAAAGAGGAACATCTTGATATGTTGGATGGTGGTATAATACAGAGACTACTAGAAGAAAAGTGGAAAGCTTTCGCAAGGGTGGGTGTGGGTATATAAAATGTTTTTATAAAATTTGATAAGTTGAATTCTTTTTTACCTATTTATTATTACCATCACCGCACTATGGTATGTTGTCTTACTTATTTATAGAACCAATTTTTGAAACGTCTTTTAATACTGCTAGTTCATTTATTGCTCTTATCATCCGCTGTGTATCTAAGGCCTGAAGACTCGGACGAACCGCTTTTGCAATGGCAAGACGATTTTCAACTTTTTGTCAGGTAGGTGTAAGTACATCGTGCATAGGTATATTACAAACTTAATCAAATAAATAAAAACGAAAAGACTGCTTAATACGTTTTAAATATAATACTAAATATAACAATGACAGATACAGTTGTGAAATTGGCACTGTCCTCGGTGTACTCAGTTATGTCATTCTTCAACAAGGCGACGAAATAAAAAATCAAGGATTTTGGACATTTCTTAAACATCAAGTGAGTGGCTATATTATTAAAATTACGTAAAAAAAATAGATAAGTTATTATTTACACATACAGTATCAAATACGACATGCCTATAGTCGATGTACAATATTAAACATACTAAAAGTTTATTTTTTAAGTCTAATTCACCGGCAAAAGCGATATTTTTAGTGTCAAATCTTCTAATATTGGCATGCATACCTTATCGAATTCTGGGCGATAGAGAAACGGAAGAAGCGATTCTGGCTTTCGCCGTTCCTGGATCATGGTTTCTGTTGATGTTTTTTGCAGGGTTGATTCAAATATAACTTTTGCGAATAGTCGGAGCGTCATAAAAGTCAATTTTATTGCAGTGCCGTTCGCTTAACCGGGCCTTTTGTAACAATGATTTACAGCATGATTACGGGAGATATGCTTACATTTGGAATCATATACACTATTGTGCTTTTTGGATTCTCTCAATCCTTTTATTTTCTTTACAAAGGATTTCCTAATACACAAAATACTCTTTACCACAACTATCCTTCCACGTGGATGGCTTTGTTTCAAATAACCATGGGTAGTTACGATGTAAGCTGAAAAAGCACCGTCGCCATCATTTTTACTAATATTATATCATTGTACCTACTTAAATTTTATACTTTCCGCAGTATGGAGAACTGGCTAAAATTGCGTATCCTAAATTAAGCAAGTCTGTGTTTGCTATTTTTATGGTTTTTGTGCCAATACTTTTATTAAATATGTTAATTGCAATGATGGGTAACACTTATGCACATGTAATAGAGCAGAGCGAAAAGGAGTGGATGAAACAAGTATGTAATATAAAATATACCTATCGTAGACTAGGGGGCACTCAAAAAAAAAACAGAATCATAAGTCCATTCACATTGAATTTGTTCCACACTGAATCATAACACTACTGCCTTAGGTGCAGTAACGCCTGCATCGAAGCATTGATAAGATCTCCTTGCGACTTCTTCTTAATCCTACGAATAGACAAGGCCTTTAAAAGAAAGCGTTTTTGGGAAGCAGAACATGTCAAGAAAAAATCGCTGGAAACAACATTAATTCAGATGCATATATAACGGTTTCCAACTGTGGATAAACCGTTAGACAACCGTTATTCTGATTTAGATTGACATTTTCAGAATATAATTTTAAATAAAAAAAAAAAAATACAAACGTTTAATTATACAACACGCTACTGAAGTGAAACTTCTTCAAACACACAAACATACCGGGATAGGGGTTAAGGAATTGGTTTAATGGTATTATTTGTACACTATGAATTTAAATTTTACACTATACATGTCTGTAACGAACGTTGCATTGAAGCGCGCTCACGGCTCAAGCGATCCCCACTACGAACTCGACTACGTGACCGAGTAGAGGGGGGACATCCGTTGCATGATTTTGTCACATAGCAACTCGCATGAAACGAACTTATCCTACCGTGCGTAAAGAAGTTTCACTTAAAAAAATCAATAAATAATTCTGTTTTTTTGCTACCCTCTCATGTTATTGTCGACACCTATAGATAAAAACACAAACGTTGGTTGCGGTACCGAGATATACGTAGTATGTATTTTCCAGTGGGCAAAAATAGTAGTTACATTAGAAAGGGCAATTTCACAGTCTGATGCTAAAAATTACCTCGATGAGTACAGCATTTCACTTGGTGCGAGTGAAGATCCCAGTACTGAACAACGCGGTGTAATGGTTATTAAAACCAAAAGTAAAACTAGAGCTAAACAAAGAAAAGGTGCTGTTGCGAACTGGAAGGTGAGTGAATGAGTGAACGGTAAAAATTGAAAATTAGTGATTTGCTTTCACTTATTATATTTACCTATGTAAGATTTATTTATTGATTGTATGCTTTTAGAGACTTGGTAAAGTGACTATTAATGCTCTCAAGAAAAAAGGTCTCACTGGGGAAGAATTAAGATGCATAATGTGGGGAAGAGAGTCAATAAATACACCCGTTAGAAATCGAAAGTAAATTAATTGCATACAACTTAATAAATAATTTAAGAATTTTTTCATTACAATTTTATTAACAGTCCCAAAAGTACAATCAGAGGATCTCAAGTTCCAAATATTACCGAGGCATTTGGAGAAACCGTCTCGGCCGCACTGGACTTGACAAGTTTTGCACACAACATTCAATTCCGAAAAACTGACGAAATATGTGAAGCAATAATACGAGAAGTAAGAAACGTAATGCGCTATGTGTACTTAATAAAATATGCAATAACGTACAAGTACTTGGGTAATATTAGATGATAAGTAACAGTGTCCTATTTTGTTTTTGTTTACATGGTAGCATCAGGATAAACCTAAAGAAAAAGATAATGGTGTAAAAGAAACACAATTTGGTAAGTTTCAAAAAATTATAAGCACACCTTTTACAATTTTAACGTTTGTAACTTCATTTCTAATTAGGTCAAAATTTTAAATTAATACTCATTATCAATATGAATTTCAGAAACAGCAGCATCACAGCAATTCGCATCCACGTTACCTAGTACACCCAGTGAAAAGTCAAATGTTTTCGATCAATTGACAGATAAAATTACACCTAAAGAAGATGATCCTGGGAAGAAACAATTTTCACCTTTCGAGTTTAAGCCGGTAGCTCTGACGGAATTTTATGACGATCCTCTACGGGAATTGGTTCTCAATTCTAGGAGTCAAGAGGCCGAAGAAAAAACCTTGAACACTCTGGCTATTCAAGCTGCAAATTTATCTAATGTCAACGAATTAGCACTGTTAGAAAGCAATAAGCAAAACGAGACAAATAATCTAATCAATCTATTTTCATTTTCGCCTTCACAGCCTCCTCCCCAAACAGAGAAAACTTTGGTCGAATTATATTTAAATAAAAGTTATGATCATATAGGTAATGATGTCTATAATAATTAATCAGTTAACGAGCGGTTAATAATAATAATAATAATATTGTAACTACAGAAAAGCCGCTGCTTGGATCAATTTCTCGATCATTGAGAAGTAAATCGGTTTACTGTAGAAAAATGTGTAACAAAATTCGTTCTGAAGAGAGTTCTTATAAATACGTACGTAAGAGTCTTGAAGATGCCATCAGTGAAAGTTCTCAACAAGAATTGGATTACATCGAAAGACAGATAAGACAAGTGAATGGTCACTGCAAGCAAAACGAAGAAGGTCCTATTGAAAGTGGCTTCTTACCCGATGGACACAAACAAAATATCATCAGGTAAATAACACAGGTGTCTAAAGGGAGATACAAGGGCTGACGCTGAAGCTGGCGGAAATTTTAAAATACCGTAGATGCGCGGTGACAATAGTAGGCAGTTTTAGCTATAACGATTGCAACCTTCTTTCTTCAGTATTTCCTATTTAAAAGCAGGGATTAGTGAGCAAGTAATAGACATACAAACAAAAGAACTAATTGTTGATGTTAGTGACAGTGATAGAGATTCCCATGATGACAGTGAATGTGAAAACTAACTATAAAACAAAAGCAATAGGTTTATTTTTTCTTTTTGGTAAGTGATGTTTCTACATTATTTCCTAGTACGCTACTGTTCTATCTGTATTAATACTATAATTTCCGTCTATTGTAAGCTTATTTGTATATCGGTTCCAAGTGACTTACACAAAATGGTCATAAATAGGCGCGACCGCTCGCCAGCTTCCTTCGTGCGACCTGTATAATTATAGGCAAAATTTTCAAATGGTGCTCCTATGCCGATGAAAAGGAAGAAAGTTTTAAACAACATTTATTTCGCTGTGGCTAAACGTTCGTCTATTATAAGAAAAAATCCGTAGTACGGTGGACATAATGTTACTAAACTTTGAGCCATCCAAAGTGGCGGCTGAAGTATCTAATTTTGAGAAGATTTATAAATTTAATTTGTTGAATGGCTAACATCCGAAGAAATAAGGAAGACGGTCCGAATTTTATTTAGGGACAATAACCCTTAATAAATTTATCTTTGCAGCTGAGATTCGCCAAAAATGTTGTACTATACTTAAATAAGACAGAGTAGTGGAATTCATTTGAAAACATTCCTCTGAAAGTTTTCAAATAATTTTGGACTTTATAGGCACAGGTACGGCACAGAATATAAAATGTGCTTCCTTTGAATGGTGCCATAAAGTTGTAATTGCACTTAGGCATGAGCAAATGCGACCTATTGTTGACAGTTTTACTGCACGAGCCGTCACTTTAAATGGCTCAGAATTTACGTCGAATGTCCGCCGATATGTTCTTCGTTCACGCATGCGTAGTGGATTTCATCTATTATTTAGTAATCTGACTAAACTAAACATCATCCAAATTTGGAAATTTGCGCAAGCACGGCGGAATAGTGATCTATATTTTTCAATTTCGTATTCCGCCGTGACGACTAGACATCAGGGGCCTTGTGAGTTTACCGAACGCGGTACTACTCTATCCGAAATTCCTGTGATTTCGACGGGGTCATTTCATGGTCGTTTAGACTAGAGCAATAATATGCCACAGACGGTCTTCAATTTTGTTAACCCAACTTGTCTTCATTTCGCCCATCTTGTCTTTTTTCCATGGGCGGTCCCACTCATTCTCATAATCTTGAAGAAGTTGGCGAGGGCCTCCACCCTCTAACTATGCCTTTGCGCCTAATTTTAAGTATAGATTAGTTCCGATTGCAGTAAAGAACTCGAGAAACAATTTCTTGAATGAAAGTTGTGGCAGATTTTTTTATTTTAGGGAGAATGTCTCGGCGGTGCTGGAAAAAATACCGGAAATCCAGTCAGAGCAGTCTGTTGACCCTTTAGAAGCGTGGAGCGTAAAAGAAATAACAAATATGAGTAAAATATTATCCTGTAAAAAAGACATCACGACCACATTAGATAAATAAAGCATCTTCCGTCATGTAACCGTCATATCTATAAAAAGATAAAATCTGTGACGGCCACATTTTATATATACACATACAGTAAGAAGTAGATCTTTTTCTACTATATATATTGTAGATCTTCTTATATTATATATGTATGTATTGTATTATCCAAAAGTACCATATAATTGAAAAATAAATAGAAATCGATTCATGAAAATTTTTAATGTTTAATGTTTTTTCTCCACAAGTTGAAAGTTTATACCATCGTCTTCGTTTACGTCCAAAGGGAGACACCACAGTAAATATTTAGAACCAAAGACTGTTATCGAATTTTTGGGGCATCCCAAATTAAATGTTAAATCTTCTGGACAAAATATCGGTGGATAT